GCTCTGTTCGTGAAGAAGAAGGATGGGACTATGTGAATGTGCATTGATTACCGCCAGTTGAACAAAGTTACCATTAAGAACAAATACCCATTGTCGCGTGTTGATGATTTGTTTGACCAACCGTAGGGTTCCAAGGTGTTCTCTAAGATCGACTTAAGATCGGGGTATCATCATCTGAAAGTTTCTGGTGATGTCCTTCGGCTTGACCAATGCCCCCCGGCATTTATGGATTTGATGAACCGGGTGTTCAGGCCATATATTGACTTGTTTTTTGTTGTCTTCATTGACGACATATTGATCTACTCCGTAGCATGGAGGAACACGAAAAAACATTTGAGAGTCTTGCTTCAGACCTTGCGCGAATAGAAGCTATATTCTAAGTTCTCCAAGTGTGAGTTCTTGTTAGATTATGTGGAATTCTTTGGGCATGTTATATCAGTCAAGGGTATTAAGGTAGATCCCAGGATGATCAAGGAAGTTCAGAGTTGGCCTCATCCTACCACAGCGACCCAGATCTGGAGTTTCTTGGGGTTAGCATGTAGCTAGTTTATGGAGGCTTCTCATCTGTTACACCACCCTTGACTAAATTGACCTAGAAGGGTGCTCCGTCCCGATGGTCCGACGATTGTGAGGTGGGCTTTCAGAAGCTCATGACCGCATTAACTACAATACTAGTGGTGTTGCCTTTCGGTTCAGGGATGTATACTGTGTATTGCGACGCTTGATGCATTGACCTGGGTAGTGTATTGACGCAGGAGGGGCGAGTTATTGCATATTCTTCATGTCAGCCAAAGCGTGGTGAGAAGAATTACCCTGTACACAATTTGGAGTTGGCCACGATAGTTCATGCTCTCAAGATCTGGAGGCATTATCTTTATGGGGTATCCTGTGAGGTTTACACCGATCATCATAGCTTGCAGCTTTTGTTCAAGTAGAGGGATCTCTATTCGAGGCATCACATGTGGCTTGAGTTACTAAAGAACTATGATATCACCATTTTCTATCATCCGGGCAAGGCGAATGTGGTTGCGGATGCCTTGAGCAGAAAGGCTGAGAGTATGGGTAGTTTGGCATTCATTTCAGGAGAGGAAAGGCCATTGGCTTTAGACATTCATTCCATGGCTAACAGACTTGTGAGATTGGATATGTCCGAGCTCAGTCGAGTTCTTGCATGTGTTGTCGCTCAGTCTTCATTATTCAAGCGAATCAATCCTCGTCAGTACAACGATCCGCACTTGTTGGTTCTTAGGAAGACGGTACTACAGGGTGGTTCCAAGGATGTTACTATCAGTGAGGATGGTGTTCTGACTCCAGGGTCGTCTATGCGTTCCTAATGTTGATGGATTGAGGGAGAAGATTCTAGAAGAGGAATACAGTTCTCGGTATTCTATTCATTCAGGTGCTACGAAAATGTATTGCGACCTGAGGCAGCATTATTGGTGGCAGTGGATGAAGAGGACATAGTTGAGTTTTCTGAATTGCCAACATGTTAAGTATGAGCACTAGAGGCTAGGTGGCCTATTTCAGCAGATGTTATACCATAGTGGAAATGGGAGCGCATTACTATGGACTTCGTAGTTAGGTTGCTGCGGACTTTGAGGAAGTTTGATGCAGTTTGGATCATTTTCGATAGGTTGACCAAGTCAGCACACTTTATTCCGGTTGTGACTACATATTCTTCAGAGAGATTGGCCTAGATTTACATTTAGGAAATTGTTCGGTTCCATGGTGTTCCTGTTTCCATCATTTTAGATAGAGGCCCTCAATTTACTTCGCATTTCTGGAGGGTAGTATAGAGTGAGTTGGGGACCCAGTTAGAGCTCAGCATACCCTTTCATCCACAGACCGACGGGCAGTCGGTGCGGATGGTTCAGATCTTGGAGGATATGCTAAGAGCATGTGTGATCGACTTCGGAGGCAGTGGAATCGATTCTTGCCTTTGGACGAGTTTTCTTATAACAATGATTATCAATTCAGCATTGAGATGGCTTCATTTGAGGCTTTGTATGGTCGGTGATGTCGTTCGCCTATCAGATGGTTTGAGCCAGGTGAGGCTAGGTTATATGGTACTGATTTAGTGAAGGATGCCTTGGAGAAAGTGAAGTTGATTTAGGAGCGACTTCACACAGCATAGTCCAGACAGAAGAGTTGTGTGGATCAAAAGGCGCATGATTTATCATTTATGTGGGCGAGAAGGTTCTCTTGAAGGTCTCCCCAATGAAGGGAATCATGAGGTTCGAGAAGAAGGGAAAGTTGAGCCTGGGGTTTATAGGTCCATTTGAGGTGTTGAGGCAAGTTGGGGAGGTTGCTTATAGCTTGCTTTGCCTCCCAATCTATGGGTAGTTCATCTGATTTTCCACGTGTCTATGCTCCGAAAGTTTCATGATGACAGGTCGTATTGTTAGACTACATCACGGTACAGCTAGATGAGAGTCTGGGTTATGAAGAGGAGTTGCCATTATTGACAGGAAGGTTCGCCAGTTAAGGTCCAAGAAGATTTATATTGTAAAGGTTTAGTGGAAGGGTCAACCACTTGAAGAGGTGACTTGGGATACCGAGTAGGACATGCGGAGCAGATATCCACACCTATTCGGCACTCCAGGTATGATCCTAGACCCGTTCGAGGACGAACATTTGTGTAAGAGGTGGAGTATATAACGACCTGACCGGTCGTTTTGCTTTCTAGATCCCTATTCCACTAATTAAGACTCCCCGTATATGCTTTTACTGTTTTATGACTTACAAGGATGGTTAGTTTGGGTTAAGGGCTTGGGATAAAATCCGAATACTTAGTTCCTTAATAGTGGCTTATAATGGTTAAGTTTGACTTGAGTCAACATTTTAAGTAAATGACCTCGAAATTGGGATTTGTCAGTCCCAATAGGTTCGTATGATGATTATGGACTTGGGCGTATGTTCGAATTGGGTTTCGGATGACCCTTCATCACTACTTGTTCGAGATTAGACTGGATACATGTTATGTGTATACTCACGCTACACTTCTGCACTAATCATGCAGGACCTGAGTCGGGTGCATCTGGCATCTATTTAGGCGCCCACCCCCATTACCTTGAGGCATAGTGGTGAGCTGCTCTCTGAGTCCGTTCTGCAGCACCCGCCGTCTCTCTTTTGTATTTAATTTCTCTCTATATTATTTCAAACAGTCTCATAGGTGTTTTGTATATTCTATTAGTTGCTCATACCCTTGTGACACTGTGTCTTGGGAACATGCTAGTAGAAACTTTATGATTTTGAGTACATATTTCACAGTATTTTGCTATTTCATTTGCTTACGCTTTACTTTACTAAAATATTCCACTTCTCATCTACTTAATTAATAAAAAATCAACTACTTTGAAATTGTTAAAACGAATAATTACATGACTAGTTCACTGTTGGTTTACCTAGCGGCGACGTTGGGCGCCATCACGGCCTATAGAGGAAACCGGGTCGTGACATTGACCATAACCATCATTTTATTTATTATAATTGTTTGCCGAGCTGTAACTGGATTAATTATTGAAATAAACGTTTAATAGAAAGAGGAACATTAAAATCATGTGTAATCTAATTATCCGTTGAATTCGTGAGAATCAACAGTATTAGAGAGTAAACTAACTCAAGAATTGGATACCGAGGCAATTATCTTTCGCCTATCTAGTCAACTACCCTTATTTCTGTCATTGATATCTCTTTGTTTCTCATCTTCTATCTTCTGTAATCATCAAATTAAGTGTTAATTTTCCTGGATAGTAATCAACTGAAGACTATTCGAACACTGTTCAAATCCAATCCATGTAGAGACGATAAATAACTATACTATCTTTGACTAGCGAGCAATAATTTTGTGTTCTGTTTTACGCTCATCACAGCACCAGAGTGCAACTGAATCTACTCTGCAGCAAGAACTACCAGAACCACCATCCTCTCCTATTCACATTGCGCCTGGAGATGCAACAACTTATTCAGAAGTACAGGTGGATGCATGGGAGAATTCAACTAGTGAGAATGCCACAAGTTCACTGGAAGTTATGCATGTTATAGAAGCCATTGCATCAGAGATGATTTAGGCTCCTGTTGTGTTTAATACACAAGCTCCTGCTAGACTAAGAAAGTCAGAAAGAACAAGCAAACCTCTCATATGGCTCAAGAACTTTGTGAGTCTGGATAAAGGGAAGGCAACAACTAGTAATTATTTGTATACACTATCTAATGTGATGAGTTATGCAGGTATCTCAGCTACATATCAAAGTTATGTAGAAAAGATGTCAACATAACTACAACCTATGTCCTACTATAGCAGCTAAAGACTTTAGGTGGATTGAAGCTATGAAGGCTGAAATTCAGGATTTAGAAGATAACAACACATGGGTTGTAGTACCATTTCCTACTAGAAAAAAGGCCATAGGGTTCAAATGGGTATATAAGAAAATACAAGGCCACTGGTGAAATAGAGAGGTTCAAAACAAGGCTAGTAGTCAAGGGGTATAAGAAGAAGAATGGGATTGATTACCGAGAGACCTTTTCACCAATGATAAAAATGGTCACTCTCTGAATTGTACTGTCTTTGGCAGTAGTCAATGATTGGTGTATCTATAAGATGGATGTCTTTAAAGCAATTCTACAGGGAGATCTTCATGAGTAAGTATATATGCAATTGCCTCAAGGTTTTTCTCAACCATTAAACAAGCCACTGACCTGCAAATTGCTCAAAGCTCTCTATGGGCTTAAACAAGCCTCTAGACACTGGAATATCAAATTGATGACTGGCTTACTTGAATCTGGCTTCAATCAAAGTCACCTTGACTACTCTTTACTAACAAAGAAAATAGGAGACAAGCTAGTCCTTGTTCTGATTTATGTTGATGATCTTCTAATCACAGTAAATGATCCTTCTCTAATTCAAGACACAAAAAATATACTGCAAAGCAATTTTAAGATCAAGGAGAACTTAGGTACTCCTTGGCCTAGAGTTTGCAAGAACTAAGGATGGCTTCCTCATGAACCAGAGGAAATATGCTTTGGAGTTGATTTCTGATTTGGTGCTAGCTGGATCCAAGCCTCTTGGTGCTCCTCTAGAGATGAATCTCAAGCTTACCTCTGCAGAGTTTGATCAACACGTTGGCCAATCTCAGGATACTTTGTTACCTGATCTTGGAGGCTATCAGAGGCTTATTGGTCGACTACTCTATCTCACCATCAGCAGACCAGATATTTTCTATGTTGTCCAATGCCTTAGTTAGTTTACACATGACCCTAAGGTTTCTCATATAGAGGTTGCAACTAGGGTGGTGAGATATGTGAAGCAGTCCCCTAGACCTGGTATTTTCTTCTCTGCTTCTAATTCTAATCAGCTTCAGGCCTTTTCTGATGCTGGCTGCGCCTCCTGTCCAGTTAGTAGGAGATCTACCACTGGCTATGTGATCAAATATGGGAAACCTCTTATTTCATGGGAATCCAAGAAACAATCCACTGTGTCTCACAGCTATGCTGAGGCAGAATACAGAAGTTTGGCCTCCACAGTTGCTGACATTGTGTGGCTTACTAGCACGTTCAAGGAACTCAATGCTCCACTCTCTTTGCCAGTGCCTTGGCATTGTGATAGAAAATCAGCCATCCAATTGTTGCTAACCCTGTCTTTCATAAACGTACCAAACATATCGACATAGACTGTTGCTTTATTCGGGAGAAAATTCTTCAAGGTCTTGTGCTGATTGTTTACTTGGCTTCTTCTGAGCAGCAGGTTGATCTCATAACGAAGGGTCTTAGCAGGCATCAACATCACTGTTTGTTGTCCAAGCTAGGTAGTCAGAGTTATAGTTAGTTGACTATAGTTAGAAAGTTAGTTAGGATAGATGGCTTAGCTGTATATAACCAACTCTCTCCTCTGTTTGTAGTTAGTTAAGTTCATTTCGATAATGAAAATGAGCTTCTCTCAACTCTCTCTATCTCTCTATGTATATCATGATTTCAATAGATTTCTTCTTCTCATAAACTTAACACAATTTTACACTTGTATATATTCCTTTCACTTATGTTGAAGTAAATGATGCTAATTTATAAGCCTTTTTTCAATGTGTTAGCTATTAGGTCCTTTTAAAAGTTGTGAAACAACCACTCTTCCAAGTATATTTTGCACATGAATTGTCATGATCCAAAACCCATTGTAGGTCGTGATGTCACCCAACGTCGCCGGTAGGGAAGCCAACGCTGAACTAACAACTTAGTTATTCATTTTATTATTTTTGAAATCGTGAATCAGGTTAGGTGGAGACTTAAATACGTTAAAGTTGTAGATATATACAATTTAAATATTATAGAAGTAAAAGTGTATCGAGGTTAAGCAAACCATAAACAAATTCTAGAACATCCGAAAACCCAGTGTCGCAAGTGCATGAGCATTTACTAAGGAGTAAAATAATAATACAACATCTATTCGGAATGTAAATAAGACATGATTAAGTAAATAGCACAATGGAGACTCTATGGGCTGCTGTACGTAGCCTGGAATGCAGCTTACCACAAAGTCTCCTCAGCAACTGTGCCTACGTTTTAAGATGACCACCAATTGAACATGTAAGATCCTACACATTTAGTGCAGAAGTGTGGCATTGGGCCGTAAACCAACCCGTAACCAGTAAGTATCTAGCCTAACCCCGAAGAAATAGTGACGAATGGTCGACAACGACACTTAATAGAGGTCCAATAAAGCAATATGATAAATCATAAGCATATATGAGCACAACGGTAATAATGGGGTAAAGTTGTAAGTTACAAAATCATCCAACTTTTAAACATATAAATTTATCAGTCTCGTATTCTCTCTCAACAGCCCAGATGTAACAAGTGTCAGTATCAGACGGATAAGGAATACCACATAAAATGCCAGGCATTAGTGGAAGGATAATCTCGTGAATATTCGGACGGCTAGCGATATAACACACGATTATGCTGAGGTCGCACGACCCGATCCAGAATAATATGTACATTGCCGAGGATCGACCGACACAAACCATAGATGCATCTATTATACTACTGAAGCATTCGGCCCGCTCCACAAGAAAGGAAGGAACTTATCAAATTACGAGACACGTGCTTACAATATAGTACGTGAGCACAAAGTGAATAGAACCTTTACCGTTTCTCAAATAATTTGCCAACAACTTTCTCTCTCTCTCTCTCTCTCTCTCTCTATATATATATATATATATATATATATATATATATCAGTTTAAATTATAAATTCAATTAGTTACCCAGCAGAATGAGTTCAAATAATTCAAATATTACATGATAAAGTCCTAAGTCTACCCAAACATAGGCATACTTTAGCTACTTATGGACTCTCGTCACCTCATGCATATGTAGCACCCAACACTAGTAACACATAACAATTACATCACCTAGGGGGTAGTTTCCCCCTCACAAGGTTAAATAGGAGACTTACCATGCTCCGAAGTTCCATAACCGGCTCCAACGCCTCTCTAACACCTTAAACCAATGTCCATCAATCCGAAACTAGTCAAACAAGGTGCAAATCAATCAAAATATACTCCAACGCGTGTAATTTAACAATTTATAATAATTCTCAACTTCACTCAAAAAGTCAACAAAGTCAATCATCGGGCCCACGTGCCCGGATTCGAAATATTCTTTAAGATAATCATTACCCATAACACCACAAACTCGAATATATAGTTTATTCCTAATTCCATGTCCAATTTCGTGGTAAAAATCCAAAAAGACCAATTTCTAGGTTTCTTTCAAAATCTCACAATTTCTACTAATTTTCATGTTTAAATCCTTGTAGAATCCATGTAGTTAGCTAACAATGTGCGGGAATTGCTTAACTTGCCACAGACGATGAAAATCTTCCCTCCATGAGCTCCAATAATCGCCCAACCAAATGAAAAATGGGAGAGAAATGGGCTAAGTCCCGTATTAAATAAATCTGTCCACGCCCGCTCTACTTCGTGATCGCGGAAAAACCATCGCGATCGCGAAGGCCAGAATCACTGCCTTCAAAATTTCCTCTGCGCGTTCGCGACCTCCACGTAGCGTTTGCGAAGCCTAATGACCCCTTCCCTTCGCATTCGGGGGCCACGAGCCTCGTTCGTGAAGGCCTAACGACAGTCAGGCCCTAGCTCCCCTTCCTTCTTCGCGTTCGTGACCTCCAAGTCGCATTCGCGTAGGCTACCCCAGCCTCTTCTCCGCGTTCACGACTCCTGCTTCGCGTTCCCGATGAGCAATTCCTAGAAGCCCCAAAATCCTTCTTTGCGAACGCATGAGACCCTTCGCAAACCAGACACCAGCACCAACAGTTGCAAAACAAGGAAAAATGGCCCGAAACCACTCTAAATCACACCCGAGGCTCCCGGAACCCCGACCAATCATACCAAAAAGTCCCAAAAAACAACACGACCTGCTCGAGACCTCAAGTCACACCAAACAACATCAAAACTACGAATTAATGATCGAAACCTTCTTTTAACTTTCAAATATTCAAATTTCAACGAACACGTCCAATTCATACTTAAACATTACGAATGACGCCAAACATTACGTGCAAGTCATAAATCACGATACGAACCTATTCCAAGGCTCGGAAACCCAAACAGATATCGATAACACCAAAGTCCACCTCAAACCAAACTTAGGAAATTCTAAAACCTTCAAAATGCAAACTTTCCACAATAAGCGTTGAAATGCTCCTGGGCGACCCGATACTCAACCCGAACATATGCCCAAGTCCGAAATCATCATACTAACCTATTAGAACATTTAAATCCTGATTCCAAGATCGTTTACTCAAAAGTCAAACCTTAATCAACTCTTCCAACTTAAAGCTTCCGAGATGAGAATTTTCCATCCAAATCAACTCTGAACTTACCGAAATTCAATTCTGACTACGCGTACAAGTCATAATACATGAAGTGAAGCTATCCAATGCATCAAACCTCCGAACGATGCGCTAAAGCTCAAAAAGACCGGTCGGGTTGTTACATTCTCCCCCACTTAATCAGACATTCGTCCTCGAACGTCCCAAGAATTGTTCCGGAGTTGTCCAAAATCATTGTTAACACCTCATGCACCTATCTGTGCCGCCACCACCCATGTGAGCACATTAGCTCGAGCCAGACTGAAGATCCTTCCTTTTTCTTACCCAACAATCCTTAGAACAAGTTTCAAACATCCGAAATTCTCCACGAGACCCGATTTTAACATACGAACACCGCATCAATCACTATACACTGTACCAAAACCTGATCATGCACCTTTGCTGAAATCAGACCATGCACCGCATAATTCTCATACCCATAATAACATCTTCCAACTGTAGAAGGTGCAAATTCACTAACCTAATGCCCGTAGTATACCTTATATGCGCATAAGCCCTAATCCAACCCTCGCGATACTGGAATGATTAAAACGGTGCATAGAAGCTCATAAATACCTGCAAAATCAATAAATCATAGGGTCCCTCCTCCTGAAAAGAACCATTACCTCATTCTGAACTGAATAACGATATTTTCTCTTTAATATACCCGATATAAATTCGATCGCACTAATCTCAAGTCAAATAACCTCATCTCACCCAGTAAAAGTTACTCGAGCAATAAGCCACCTTAAACACCATCTAAAATCTCATATAACGCCATCAAAGCGGCAACAAGCTTTAAATCGAATATGACTTATAAGGAAGAACGAACTTCAATAAGCAACTACCCAGCCTGCATAACGAATAAAACGGCTATCAAATGTTGTAATCCTTTCTAGATGATGAGAAACAAGACATACACAAAAATAAGTATAGGGAACCGTACTCAATATCTCTCTGTTGCGGCATAGAACCCGATCCAACTATGACACTGTTGCAGCGTGCAACCCAATCAAAACATGAGACTATTGCGGCATGCAACCCAATCCGAATTGACATTATTGTTGCGTGGAACCTAATCCATACAAAATACCCGTGGCAGCGTGCCACTCGATCCAATCAATATACCTATGGCGGAGTGCCACCCAATCCACACAACAATCAATAAGGAGACACCTATCAAGCTGTAATGCTTACACTTACGAGATGCCCGAAGATCAACCATAATCACGCCAAGTGCATAATACAACCCTGGGGAGGAGTAGCACCATACACTACAAAACCCAAGCACAACTAAGGTGCAATAAATGACATGCATCTTGAGAGGCCTCTTGCTCATATAACACCACAAACCACATGGGATCACAGCACATGTGTGAATAATCAAGCCGTCTCATAACCCACATGGCAGAATTGAGTATTACATGGAATAGCTGATGACAGGAATAACAACCAACGCTCGAAGACTCCTCCATAAGCAATGTTATGCTGAATGAACACACCCGACCTGACGTAGAGCACACTCTCACAATAGACCCACCAATGGACCTAAAGACGATTCTGATCATTATTGGGCCAACAACCTTCCAAGGATCCACAATGGCCGTATTCATGACACGAGCAATCATCCAATCCGGACCAAACTCCCACATTCCACAACCAAATGAGTAGCGCGCCTTTCAGGCATAAACTCTCTCATTAGCGATAGTACCAGAATCTCCATACTTGGTTTCAATCCTTAACAATCAAGTGACTATCATGTCACATTTATACAAGTTTCCCCATGGAATA